TGCAAGTCCAGCGCAGCGAGCAGTTGCATTGCTTGCATGTCTTGCATATTATTTTGTACTGCATGCCTCGCAAGGAACGGTTGTAACTTCTTTACAATAAAATCATAACCAAATATCGTACAGGGTGTTCTACTAATTGAAGTTGAAGAATGTTAGCCAATATGAGTAATAAAGTTACCTAAATTTTCGCATACAATCAACAACTTAGTAGGTACTTTAGTGTTGACATAAATTCAAATGCATAATTATTTACAAATCCTCAATTCGTACCTAAAGTACGGCGGCCAACGAGAACCGATACCAAATGTAAACAAACCCTGTCATTGTCATTTGGAATAGTAGGGGTGGGTTGCACCACCTATCTTTAATGGTATTCTATGACGATAACCGGTGCTTTTTGTATAGAATTTGACAGATTTTTGACGTTTGTCAAAGTTAAATTAAGATGGTGCAACCCAACCTAAGGGTTTGACTTTGACATATTTTGGCGGGAGAACGAGACTTAACACAACTAAACAAGATGGGAAGAGACAGAATAGATTGTCAATTCGAAAGTCGAATCGGCCTTTTGTATGACTTCTCGTTGGCCGTACTTTACCTACGTAGAGGAGTGAAAAGGCAGTAAAGTAGTACAAAATGTGTGTGGGTGGATATTGGCTAGAAGAACAATTGAGACGTACATATACCTATCTTTGTGTATGAGTTTTGAGTTATCACAGTTTTGAACGTTGTCACGGTAGGTACATTTCTTCGGTGTCAAGGATGTTCACTTGGTAATAATAATAACGTGGGCTATAAATTAACTTAAAGATGAACTACGACTGAACCGTCCCACCCGTGACATTGACAGGGGGCGCCACCGTCATACCGGATCGCTTGTTCCGATTTTTGAGACGTAGGAAAACACTGAAATGTCATTTGCAGGAGGACGTTGCCATCAATGCCAGCCCCCCTAGACAAAACGCACTTTTTGATCGAATCGAAAATCGAATCCGTCAAAATTCCATACAAAAAAGGGGCTTTTCGACCACTTTTCGACTGGTTTGCGATTATAATTTGCACTTTGTCTAGACCCACTGGTTATTATTTCCGATCTATGGCCATTTGACGTTTCAAAATCATTCAAATAAGGCTGGGTTGCACTGCACCATCTTACTTTGGCTTTAACAAACGTTAAAAATCTGTCAAACTAACTCTATACAAAAAACCCTACGGTCATCGTTATAGTTACGGTTAAAGTTAGATGGTGCATCTCAGACACGTGGAAAGGCGCTTTAAAAAGCCTTTTTGCAGAAGATAAAAGACCAATTACAGTTTCACCAATACTTATTAATTATTAAGGTTTCACTAAAAATTCTTTTGGGCACGAGTATGAGGGAAAAATCATACGATATTAATAATGAANTTAATAAACTCTGAAATAAAAATCCCTGATAGCCTGATTATTATTAGAACCTTATCTGCCTAACTATAATAACTCTGAAACTAGCAGGAACTGAAACTGAATGAATACGTAAATAGGGTGTATACCTAGCAGGTTATTTACTTATAATAAAGTATACCTACTCGTACAATATTTCTCGCCGAGACGTTAAAAAGTCGAAAGATAAAATATTGTAAAATTATGTACTCGTATATAGGCATTCAATAGGTACGTATATTATTACGTGAATTGAATGAATTGTGAGAAAAAAGAAGTTTGCACTGCTTTAGGAATGGCACGATTTGGTATTCACAATGGTTAACTACCTATACATACCTACTTATTATAACAACGCGCAACGGTCCTTAATGTTATACTGCATAAATTGGTAAAAAATTCCAGAAATCTTTAAAATTATTGTATTACCTACTAGTTATTNTACTATTATTAACACTAAATATGAGCCGGGATTAAAGCTTATTAAGTAGGTATTATACATAATTTTAGCTTATCGCCATAATTTCAAACTGGAAGTTCGTATTACGTAATACCTATAATATGGCACTATGCTAAACTTATTCTCTGGTTTTTCGAACGACTGATTTGTTATCATTAAAACAAGGTATGGTTTTAATTATTTAAACTGTAAACCTATATAAGTGTGTTTTTAATATCGCGGATTTCATTATCACGTAATGCGTGAATTACGACAAACAATAGGTAGGTACTACTCGTAAATACATAAAGGTAGGTACCTACATACAGCGTGGAGGAGCGATTCAGAATCAGTAACAAAAATCATTCGTTTTTAAATCAATTATTTTTATCAGCTGCGCGCGGTTTTAAATTTGGCACACATAGATAATTTAATTTACTTCGTTCCTAGACAAAAATACGGAAGTACATACCTACAGTTAACTGCAAAGCATACTGTAAATTAATTTGCGGTTGCCCATATCTTCATCATCAACAGCCCTTTACAGTCCACTGCTGGACTATGAGCCTCCTCCCTCCTCCCATATCTTAAGTTTTAAAGGACAAATTGCAGGTGTCACGCATGCGTGGCAAACCCGCGTCCATGATGACCACACGATATTAAAAACATCCTAAGGAATACGTTAATATTATTAACCGGGGATTGTGGACTTGAATAAGGTACTTTTCTGATGAACTAAAAAAATATTTTTATTTCAATTTCTTCGCTTTTGACGAAAGCTTTAAAATAAAAAAAGAAACCCGGGCTTTATTTTAAAAATCTGTACGAAAAACCAGATGTAGAGTATAGTAGGCTTAATAATTAAAAGTAAAACTAAATCTAATTAACAGGTACAAATAACATTTCGTTTTATTTTTGGCTAAAATTTTCCACTATTTGGTCCACATACAATATAGTCAATAGGGTTCACTTCATGATGACAACTACGTAGTAATTAATTTTAAAACTTTCACAATAACAACGTATGTACATTTTGTCGAGAAAGTAATTTAAAATTCTATCTAATTAAATTTAGACATTATAATAATGTAGGTATTTTATTATAAAATTTTATACAAGTTCTACTAGATCAAAGGAAAAAAGTGGAGCCGGGCGGTGCAACTCGTACGCATGCAATCTTGCAAACAACCGACCAAGTGCGAGTCGAACTCGTGCACGAAGGGTTCCGTACGACAATCTATACTAATATTTATTATAAATGCGAAAGTAACTCTGTCTGTCTGTCTCTCTTTCACACCTAAACCACAGAACCGATTTTAATGAAATTTGGCATAGAGGTAGTTTGAGTCCCGGGAAAGGACATAGGATAGTTTTTATCCCGGTTTTTGAAACAGGAACGCGCCTGATAAAGTTTTTTTGTGACAGACAAAATTCCACGCGGGCGAAGCCGCGGGCGGAAAGCTAGTTTTGTTATAATAATATTGAGTAAAAAATGGCAAAAAACCACGTCTTTTTTATGGGAGTTTTTATACAATACATTAAAATGTAAATCACGTGGTCTCTTTGTTAAGTACGAGGGGCGGCTGAAAAGTTTTGAGCCTAAGTATCTTCAAGTGTTATTATTCACTCGCACTAAATTTAATTAATTTGCCAATAACCTCCTTAGTATATGTACAAAATTTCATTTCATTAGCGTCATCACGCTTTTAGTAATTAATCCGTAAACATCATCAAGTCTCAGTTATCCGCGCAATGTACGAAATTGAAGTACACAGTTGTCATAAAATTCCTCAAAAAGAGGAACAAAACGCTGACGGTAACATTTGAAGAGATGTCTACAGTTTATGGGGAGTCTGGGCCTTCATTTGCTATCATGAAAGATTGGATCCGATAGTTCAAGCATGGCAGGGAGTCGCTAAAAGATGACCTCAAGTCAGGGCGGCCAGATTTCGCCATTAACGAATAAAATAATGAAAATTTAAAGAATCTCGCTTTAGAGATCAGCGATTTAAACTGTGACAGATAGCTGAAGCCATAGGCAAGGAACATATCGGCGATATTTAACACACTCATTTGCACATGAAATAGGGGTGCACGCGATNAATTCAATAAATAAGTAAGTACATGATGCGTTTTGTTTTTGTTAGTTATAAAATAATTAAAAACGTATTAAAAATTTCCCTACTTTCGGGAAAATCGCCTTCACTGTCTACACTCCCCAACAAAATTGACACTAATGACATAAGATTTTTGCCTCACTCTTGACGAAGCGTTTGTATGAAGACTATCCATCTAGGTTTTATTAATCTAAGGTAAAAGCTTATTACAAGATTGTAAACTATTTTCATACTATGCTTAAAACGTAAGAACATTATTGTATTTATTGTAGTTGCTTATCAACATTAAATACTAAGTTGTAATTGAAATATTTTCCAAAATATTCATAATTATTCGTTGGCATGTAAGTTAATTAAATTAATTTTTCAGTCTATGTGATGTATGATGCCACAGTGGTTAGGTCAGTTAAAGCGACAGGATAAGAACGAGAAATATTCTTATTAAAACGACTAAGTTTATACTGACATAGATACATATCTAAATAGGTATCTATAATCTATACTAATCATATCTTTGTTGGTTTTCGACGCGAAGCAGTTAACAACGGCGCGCGCGCGCGGTTGACTTTTGTCACCGTGAGAGTATAATATGTATATGTCTCGCTTTTTCTATTTAATTTTGTAAAGGTGTAAAAGAAACAGATATACTTTACTATCACGGATAATACTGTCACGGCGACAAAAAAGTCATCCGTGCGCGCGCCTTACGTCAAGCGTTTAGGGTAAGATATTGTTTGTTTTTACAAAAGAATTTATTATTATACTGTGTTTCTTCTTCTAAAACACCACTGATAAGTTTGTTCTGTCGACAGCACATCATACTACACACTTTTGTTACAAAATAGCAGCTTACTTACACCCACAATATGATGCCACAGAGGTAGCTTCATGTGCCATTGCCCGTGCAAAAGAATTGCCATTGCGAAATTATTATTATTATTATCTTATGCCCGTATTTACAAACATTACTATGGGGTCTCACAGTGAGCGTGGACGCACAAGGTGACGCACGAACCAATCACAGAGCTCTATTCAACGCTGTGCGTTCGATTTGCTGCTTCACTAAAGCAAGCATCGTTTGTGAATACGGGCATTAGTCTATCTGCGTGCACTTTAATAGTCAGACACTTTGGCATTTATAAACGTCACTAGCGTCGAGTACGGTCCCTCCGTAGGTTTCGTTTGACAAATGAGCTCGAAGGAGTTCCGATCACATTCGGGATGTGCACTAATTAGTTTCGATGTCGACGAGTTTAGACGTCGAAGAGCAGCGCAATGTTGTGCTGCGAGGCGCGTCGCTAGTAATGTTCGGGCGGCGTGTGGGGGTGTGGTCGGTAGGGTCGGTAGGTGCCGCTGCCGTAGGCGCTGTCGTCGGACGGCAGGGCGCCGCGCCGTGCCCCTGCGCCCAAGCCAGTGCCCAAGCCAGTGCCCACGCCGGCGCCCATACTGGCGCTGCCCGCGCCCGAGCTGTATACCGACTCTCGCCGCTCCGACACTGCTGCACCTGGGAAACAATCATTAGTTCAATTATTACATGGGATGATAGATATACCGGGACTATTCCTACAAATCCTACAGCTTGACCGCCACAAAAACCCAACCAATAAAGGTCAAGTTTGTCCCGGGGGATAGTTAAACTGTCATTGGACCCGCAACGAAATTAATCAGAAGAACATAGGAGGAGTTCGAATGATGATAAATGATTATAGTCAATCGAAACCGAAACACTCTTTTTGAGCTCTCCCAACGCCTAATCTCGTGAGAGTTTGCAAAGCTTCAACCAAACTAATGCTTCAACCACACCAACGCGACAACAAACAATTTTTTATTTATTTTATCAGTAGATGGCCATCGCCGGCGCGTGATCAAAGGCCAATGACAGGTCGCGCTAACTGTCTTAAGTCGCGATCTGTAGGCGTTGGTGTGGTTGAAACTTCGCGTGCAGATCGCGTCGGCGATGGCGATCACTGCGCGTGCATAGGCCAATTGTCCTGTCATTTTCAAAAAGTTAAACGCGTGATGTACACTGGTTTAATAGCAATACTTATTGAACTAAAGTCGCTGACATAGCCCGACGGATTAGCAAGCTGAAGTGGCAATGGGCAGGGCATATAGTACGCAGAACTGACGGCCGATGGGGCAGCAAGGTTCTGGAATGGAGGCCGCGTACCGCAAAACGCAGCGTGGGACGTCCACCTACAAGGTGGACCGACGACATTCTAAAGGTAGCAGGGAAGCACTGGATGCAGGCCGCTACCAATCGATCAACCAATTCTTTTGTTTTCTAGGAAGCTTTTTGTACAACAGTATAAACAAGTATCTCTGTATATACCCAATGAACAGCAAAGAATGTAAATATGCACTGCAGAAATGGCTCAAGGGTAAAACATATGATGACACAGAAAACCTGTTAATAGTTATTAGTTAAATTACTTACTTTAGGTATGCTAGCTATAAATAAACATCCTGTCAGCAAAATTTTATTTATGTAACAAAATTGTCAACCTTTACCTTTATCAACATTGTTTTGGTGTAATTATTTATAATATCTGTTTAATAAGCACTAACTTACATAATAATTAGTATGGATACCTAAAACACAGGCAAACATTTTTGCTTAGTTTAGGTATACTACCTTAATTAACATATTGTTACTAACCAAATAATTTCATAGTCCCATTTAAGTTTCTTGTATTTAGGCTAAGTTTTTATTTAATAAATTTATCTTATCTTATCTTATCTTAACGTGGAAAGCATTAGGGGAGGCCTATGTTCAGCAGTGGACGTCCTATGGCTTAAATGATGATGATGAGTAGTTTAGTTACTAAAGGCGAGTATCTACTAAATTACTCATAAGACTTAATGAATACTGACCAGCGGGCCCTGGGCGCGCGCCGTAGGCAGGGTCGCGCTGCGCGTTGTGCGCGTTCTGGTTGTGCGCGAGATGCGCGTGCGCATGCGGCCGCAGCAGCAGCGACTGCGCCGGCGCCAGCGCGCCCGCCGTCGCCGTCGCCGCAGTCGCCGCCGTCGCCGCGCTGCCTTTACTATACACTGATTGGGACCTGCAATAGAGATGATTTCAAGGTAAAAAAACAGTTCGATTTAGTCCGTCTGTTANGTATGGCCACCATAAGGTCAACCGAGGCGAGTGCGACAGTAGGGTTATTACGAATTTACGACTTACAAATATTGAGAACAATATAAGCTTTTCGTTAAAGCGCCATGATGTTGAACATCACACATCTACGCTACCGTGCTGTTTTACAACTCCGTACGTAGCTTCTACTTCTACTGTTTGGTCAGTAGCGAGTAGTTTAGTTAGTTTAGAAACGTGGTTGCACAGCGTGCTATGGAGAGGGCTATGCTTGGTGTTTCTTTACGAGATCGAATCAGAAATGAGGAAATCCGTAAACGAACTAAAGTCGCTGACATAGCCCGACGGATTAGCAAGCTGAAGTGGCAATGGGCAGGGCATATAGTACGCAGAACTGACGGCCGATGGGGCAGCAAGGTTCTGGAATGGAGGCCGCGTACCGCAAAACGCAGCGTGGGACGTCCACCTACAAGGTGGACCGACGACATTCTAAAGGTAGCAGGGAAGCACTGGATGCAGGCCGCTACCAATCGATCAACGTGGAAAGCATTAGGGGAGGCCTATGTTCAGCAGTGGATGTCCTATGGCTTAAATGATGATGATGAGTAGTTTAGTTACTAAAGGCGAGTCACTCTACTAAATTAGTCATAAGACTTAATGAATACTGACCAGCGGGCCCTGGGCGCGCGCCGTAGGCAGGGTCGCGCTGCGCGTTGTGCGCGTTCTGGTTGTGCGCGAGGTGCGCGTGCGCATGCGGCCGCAGCAGCAGCGACTGCGCCGGCGCCAGCGCGCCCGCCGTCGCCGTCGCCGCAGTCGCCGCCGTCGCCGCGCTGCCTTTACTATACACTGATTGGGACCTGCAATAGAGATGATTTCAAGGTAAAAAACAGTTCGATTTAGTCCGTCCAGCTTATCTAACACTAGCTTTCCGCCCGCGGCTTCGCCAGCGTGGAATTTTGTCTGTCACAGAAAAACTGTACCGCGCGCGTTCCTGTTTCATACCGGGATAAAAACTATCCTATGTCCTTTCCCGGGACTCAAACTATATATATGATAAATTTAATCAAAATCGGTTCAGTGGTTTAGGCGCGAAAGCAAGACAGACAGTACTTTCGCATTTTTAATAGTATAGATAGTATAGATTAAATGTTTGCAACAAACTCACTCATTTTGCAAACAGTATTTTTTTAATAGACTCTCTAGAACAATTTAACTTTAACATGATTCATTAAGTTAGGTTCTGAAACGAACCTAAACCAACCTAAACGAAGTTCCGGTTGTCATGAAGTTCCGGTTGTCATGACACCTAAGCGGTTTTTTAGGTAAGTTAGATTCTGAAACGAACATAACTGTAACCTGATAAATATGTAAACTTTAGCTTGCTTTCGGCAAGGACACGTTTGCTAACTTCAATAGTGACTCTTTTCATGCGCTTACAATTCTATTTTCGGCCAAATGCCCGCAATTGATACTCAAATTGACGGGTGCGTGACAGTTTATAAAGTTTATATGATATAAATTCATTTCAATAACGTTCATATTGTATAATAAACGTATGTTATAATAACACTTGATATAATTTTTTAACATATAATGTTTACTTCATATAATAAATCATTTCTAATAATATCATTTCAGATACCAATCACAACGCATAAAGACATTTGATATAAACCTTACTTAATCTAAGACTCATTTGATGTAATTTTCAACCGACTTCAAAAAAAAGGAGGAGGTTCTCAATTCGACCCGTATGTTTTTTTTTTTTTTCTATGTTTGTTACGCGATAACTCCGCCAATTATGAACCGATTTGAACAAATCTTTTTTCGGCGTATAGGTAANTACGCTTTCCCGCTTAAACCTCGCAACCGATTTTGATGAAATTTGGCATAGAGATAGTTTGAGTCCCGGGAAAGAACATAGGATAGTTTTTATCCCGGTTTTTGAAACAGGGACGCGCGCGATAAAGTTTTTCTGTGACAGACAAAATTCCACGCGGGCAAAGCCGCGGGCGGAAAGCTAGTATTCGTATAATTTCTCGATTGTATACAGTAAAATAATGATTTTAATCAAAATCTTTAATTTAGTACAAAATAGCACTTCTTAAAATTATAAAATTGAAGTATTTAAAACCATTTTGTATGTTATGGGTAATCATTTCATTTTGGTAACTGATAATGGGCCAATTATGGAAATGGACTAGCAAAGAATTTAAGTGTTTTTGTAAAACAGGTATGTATCAAACAAACTTTTACTCCTTCAACCAATACTGGCGGAACGATTTGTAGAGTCATTCAAGTCACATGTTACAAAAATATTAGACAGTGGTAAAAAAACTTGAATGTGCTTGTAATTTGTTGCTTTTTGGATATCGATGTACAACTCACAAAACCACGGGGCGTCATCATCATTTCAACCATATGATGTCCACTGCTGAACATAGGCCTCCCCCAATAATTTCCACAATGGCCGCTTGGTGGCGGCCTGCATCCAGCGCCTTCCTGCTACCTTTATGAGGTCGTCGGTCCACCTTGTGGATGGCAGCCTTATGCTGCGCTTTTCGGTACGTGGCCTCCACTCCAGAAACTTGCTGCCCCATCGGCCGTCAGTTTTGCTTACTAGGGCAGAATCGCTGGAAGACCTCGGCACAATGCTCGAAGACCTAATCGAGTCTCCCAACAGGTAGGCCTTGGACATGGCCAAAACGAAGCTTATGACCATGTTCCGCGCTACCTATTTTCTGTTGGGAGCCTGATTTTCGAAATTGTTGACAAGTATGTCAACCTCGGATAAACGATTCAGCTAACTAGATTCAATTTCGAGAAAGCGGTAAATCGTCAAATCCTACTCGGCTGGGCCGCGTTCGGGAAACAACACAACATCTTTTCATCCAAAATACCTCAGTGCTTAAAGACGAAAGTCTTCAAACAATGTGTGTTACCAGTGATAATATACGGCTCGGAAACGTGGCCTCTCAAAGTTGCACAGCGTGCTATGAAGAGGGCTGTGCTTGGTGTTTCTTTACGAGTTCGAATCAGAAATGAGAAGTCCTATTTACGAACGCTAAGTCGCTGACATAGCCCGACGGACTAGCAAGCTGAAGTGGCAATGGGCAGGGCACATAGTTCGCAGAACTAACGGGCCATAGTCCAATTTTATTAATGTTTGGAAGGGAGTTGAGATGTCGTTTTTCATTGTTAAGACCAAGTACGGCAAGTGCTAAAATTGTTTAGAAAATTTTATGGTTAATAATTATTTGCAGTGGGACAAAAAGTGATGTTGAGAGACATGAGAAAATCATTAGTCTTGCCAATCATGTACTTTGAGCTTTATAGCAGGTTCTGGTGCGTTTTAACGCTTTGTTTAAAGTCTCAACTAAAACCTTTATCTGATTCCGATATTACGATATTGGGTCGCTCAATATCGGAATTGTAATATCGGATCTCATCTTCCGAGATTCCGATATTACGAGATTCCGAGATTCCGATATTCATGCCCTNTAAACTAATGGAACTGAGTACATAACCCGCTGAAATGTTTATTTATTTATATCATCAACCCTTTACTAGTTTATCAGGACCTTTAAGTCATTTCTTCCTTACTTAACTAAATCAAAGAAAGGTCCAGAAGTAGACAGTACAATATCTAGTATATTGTACAATTTCATACTCAGACTAGATTCCTCCTCAAAGTATTCTGAAATACATGACCTAGTAAATAATTTCATGAGTTAAATAATTTCTCCTATAATTAAGCTTTANGTAAATAATTATTATATTAAACGATTTTATATAATTTGATGTTATATCCTCTAAGTATTATATGATATGTAGTTATATCATACATTACACACCCCAAATTGACAGATACCTAAGAAGAGCGCCTTTTTTTGAAAAATGGCCTATCCACAGTCCATACGTATCGCCGGGGGAACGGCAGGTGAGGCTCGAACCCACTAAAAACCTGGGGTGCCCCTTTGCCGCATAGTGGTCGGCGTCTTGGGTACTAGAAACGACCAAGGCGCCTTCCGCGGGACGTCCCGCTCTACACGGCGGGACATAAGAAGGTCGGGACAATAGGGCTAAGAAGAGCGCCTAAGCTGGCCTAAGCTATGGCTTAAGCAAGCTCAAAAGTAGAGGCTCGTGAGAGAGTAAGTGAAGTCACTATGCCTAGATACGTGGTAAAACGCGGAACTTCAACGCAAATTATCCAATATTTGATTGACAAATAAATCTAAATAAGCCCAATATTTTTTGATGCTATAGGTAACTGGCGGACTAAATGGAGTCTTTTAGGAAACTAGCCTACGTATGAAACAAGTTTTCTTATTCATTTAGAACTCTACATTTATCAGAACTTGCAGCTTGTATCTTTTGGTAGGTAGTAGGTAAACCTTCATTTGGTGTAGGTACCTATTGTGTGGCGACGCTGAAAAGATTTCTCAGAACTGAATCGCTGTACTCAAGTAGAGATTCAGTAGTAGAGAAGTAGAGATTTGAACCGGCAAATGCGATATTTAGTAGGTACGAGTAGTACGGGTATAAGTTTAAATAGAGTTTTTTGAGCCTCAGTTTTGTAACATTGTTGCGTCGCATTCACGGGGTTTTATCGGTTTCATAATACACAATCCGGTTAAACACTATACAAATAAATGAATATGAGTAAGAACAATATGGTATCTTAAAACCATAATGTAGCATGCTGAAGTAAACCTGACATTTGGAGCAATAACAATGGTCTAAAGAATAAATAAACACAAAAAATAAACACGCGAATCCACCACCTTCACAAAACACATGCTATGCAATCAATCGAAGTAAAAAGCTAATAAGGGTTCCTTGTCAGGACAACGGAACCCTAAAAAGGGACGAAAAGAAAAAATAGAGACTTTACCGACCGATACACTGGTCGAATTCACACTCGCCCGTCACATGCTAATTCGAAAGCGGTGACTTGATCATAAAATTATATAGAAAATCTCTGTTGTTTAAGTTTGTTGTTTGTAATAAAAACCACAAAATACAAAAGTTTATAAACGTTGTTAATTCCTGCTTAGGTTCCTTTTACTGCCGTTTAAATTAATATGAGGAAACCAGTCGAAACAACTAATAATTAAACATTAATAGTTGAAAAAACTAAAAAGATGCTTTAATTACTGCACTAAAAGGTCAAAAATCTTCCTGATTCCATCATCAGGACCCTGGACATCATCTACCACTAAAGTGCTCCAAAGACAAATCCAATGAACCCAAACTCGATGCGATTCCGCCGTTTCGTTTAGGAGATCAGAAATTATTTAGATCTCAGCTCTGTGTATTTTATACATCAAACACAATTATATCAACACACTTTCCGCAAATCAAAGGCACTAACGGCCTCCTCAACACGCCGACCAGCTCGATGCTACCATAATATTGTATTGTATCTTTTCATGATGATACAAGAATTGGAAGTGTGTAGATTCCATTCGTAGTTCGTTACTTACGACGACCTAATAAAAGCGTGTTAAAAAGATAATGATAACGCACTGCGGTTAGTTAGTTAGTTTTGCGGGGCAATCGAATACCGCACTTAGCCTCATGATTGGGCCATTGTGCGCGATTTGTGGTTTATCTTCCTACTCCAACCACCCCAGATCCCCCCAGAAGGCGAGCAGCCCGTCTGACTAGGCTGCTGCAGGCCTCCTGTAGCGACGATGGTGATCGAAGAAATTGAGCCCGTTGTTCTTCCACGCTACTGCACTCCATGATAAGGCGGCCAACTTTATAATAAGTCAATGCGGGACACCCACCCCTATCCACAATAAGACTTAGGATTTGTTGGAATTGTTAATGGTGTACTTAAATTAGAAACAAACAACACTACTACCGAATTAACATTTAATAACAGCCGTACACACACACACGCTTGATCATATTATTCTGCGGTAGCAACGTCGCGCCGCGTCTCGTCATTTGTATTTTGATGTGGAATACTTTTATGCGAGCAAAACGATGGGAAACGAGGAATGCGGGACATACGGGACGCCTCGGACGATTTGCGGGACTATTTTATTAAATATTGCAATGCGGAATTGCAACTGTCATTACGGGACGGTCCCGCAGAATGCGGGACGGTTGGCCGCCTTACTCCATGAGCACATGCTGCGGTGCGCTGCGGTATTATAACACTGTCATAATTACGTGCAGCATGCCGGGCCGTCGGCTGACCTGTGCAGCGGGTGGCGCGCGGGCGGCGGCGAGCGGCAGTACAGCGACTTGGTGCCGGAGTACAGCGGCTCCGCGGTGTCAGGGCGTGGCGCCGCCGCCGCGCAGTACGTGGCCGCGTGCCGGTAGTGGTGCGGGAAAGCCGGCTTGTCCAGCTCGTCGAGGTCCCGCGGCGACGACGCGCGCGATCCGGCGCCGGTACGAGGCCTCCGCGAGCCCCATTCGTGCAGGAGCGCGCTGGCGACGCCGCCGCCCACGCCGCCCACCCAGCACACCCAGTGGCTGTCCCAGCGCGACAGCACGAACGACGGGCCCAGCGAGCGCGCGGGGTTCAGCGAGGGCATCTGGAAGTGTGATGAGAATATAAATAAATATCCTTGGACATTTTTACACTGCGCCGCTAGCCCCAAACTAAGCAAAGCTTGTACTATGGGTACTAGACAACGGATATAAATATACATATAAAACACCCAGACCCGTCACAGAAACTAAAATTCATCATTAATTTTAATTTCTGCCCGGCCGGGAATCGAACCCGGGATCTCTCGGCATAGTAATCCGTTCTGAACCACTACACCAAACGGCCGACGATTATGATTAAAGATATGATGATAAGAAATTATGATTATGATTAAAGGCACCTTAATAAAAACATATTAAAAGCACCATAATGAAAAAGGGTTACTTAAAGTTGATGATTATTATGATAAAAATGTTTGGAATGTTTAAAGGTTCAGCCAAACCAACGCGATCACACGCGAACAGCCGCGTGCAGCGATGGCATGGCATGGCGATCAGACTTAAGGTTCGGCCAAATCAACGCGATCACACGCGATCAGCCGGCGTGCAGCGATCGGTTTGACCGAAGCTTAACTTCCTAATTCGCATCAATACTTATGACTATATTTTGTATATTTTAAAGACTATAAACCCTTGAAAAGGAGGCTGACAATAGTGACTGAGTTTCTTGCGCTGCTTCTTCTTAGCACTGGCCCATTTATTATCCCGAATCAGTGGTAGGGTTAATACTGTGACGTGTAAAAGTGCTTTTTAAAAGCCTCTTTGCAAAAATAAATGAGTTTTTTTATTCATCCGGCCGATTCCGGCCATGGCGACCGCTTCGACTCATAGCTGTCTTGGCGGCCGCGGCGATGGTGCGCTCGAAGATGGTTCATCCTACAATGCGTAGTTACAGTTGTGTTCTAACTTTCCAAGCATTTCCCTTTATTATTATGTACCTATTCGTTGACTGGCCTATTGTTCATAATAAAATAATACGATTAAATAGTAAGTTAGTTGAAACGGAACGCGAATGTTTAAAATCTTATAAAAGAATAATACTTTGCGATGCATTATTTCAGAAGCTACATTATAAAATTTGTGTAGTCTAGTTCAAGCTTGAACTAGGTATATTTTTTGAGGAACATACATGTTGAAGCTGAAACGTTAAATGTTGGTTACTTGTAAAACCTATGGCTGAGGTAAAAATAAAAATAATTGTTGTTCTTTAATCCTAGCCCTATCCCTTCCCACTATACAAATACCTAGATACCAAAAACATCTTTGATTTTAATATTTTTTTTACGGAGCCATTGACACTTTGCGGAAATTGGATCGCGGGCAGGTAAGCCGCAAATTTCTAATTTAAAGCCGTCTGGAGTAATACGTATATTATATAAATATGAAAACATAAAGGAATGCTTCGTGATACGCACAAGTGTATTGGACTTTGTACAATTCCTATTCAGAGCAGGGAGTGGAACGGAAGCGAGCGTGCACAAAAACGGCATTGGGACGAAGGTCCTGCAATTACTCCACAATGGTGTCTACCTGGCGGCTACCTGAGCCCTTTGTTAAGTTCTCACCATAGATATATTATCCAAATAATGTAACTAGATCTCGCTCTATGCTGGAGCTCATTATTATAGGGGTCCTTAAAATTGTTGATTTCCTAAGGGGTCCTAACACAAAAGGTTAAGAAACGCTGATTTAGATGGAAGTCGCAAGCAAAAGCTAGTGTATACTCACAGAGAACGATGACCGTTGGAGCAGAAAAGTTCTCGAGTGGCGACCACGGGCTGGAAGACGTAGCGTGGGCAGGCCTCCTACTAGGTGGACCGACGATCTGGTAAAGGTCGCGGAAAGAGCCTGGAAGCGGGCAGCGCAGGACCGTGCATTGTGGAAAACCTTGGGGGAGGCCTTTGTCCAACCGTGGACGTCATTAGGCTGTAACGAATGAACGAACGAACTCACAGAGACGAGGCTGGCAGCAGTGTAGGCGGCGCCGAGAAGGGCGGGCGCCGCGCCGGTCCAGCGGCGCCGCATGGCCGCGAAATAGGCGGCGGTGACCAGCGCCGACAGCACCAGCTCGGCGCCCAGCCGCTCCCACGCCGCCGCGCCCGCGCCGGGCAGCGCCGCCGACAGGCTGCCGGCGTAGCCCGGCACGCTCACCCTGGAACCAACAAAACATATCTCAGTTATATTTTTTAAGGTTTAAGAGTTGCATTCGATTTATCTCGAAGTCATCTCAAACTTACGCTACACCGTGTTTATAAGGTATAACCTCAGATCATAGAAAGGGATAACCTACCTTAATTGTAATAGCCTCGCTTAATATTACATGATTTCATATTGGTTTATGCCAATGCATTTAATTGTAATATGTTTAAGAACTTCCTTTGTAAAATGATAATAAATGAAAAAAATAATAATATCAATATGTGGATTACGTAGTGGGATGTGTTACCACATGTACATATAATATCTACATAAGTCTAGTAGATAAGTTAATTTCTGTAACACATTTGTCAAATAATAAACTTTATAATCTCATTGTGGTTAAGAAACTCGATTGGATTTGAAAGAAAAACAAATCCTGGAATACCATTACAGGTAAATGTTGATTTTACAAAAGCCTCCGCCTTCTTCTCAGCACTTGCCAAATGTTGGTTTCGAAGCGCTGGTAGGGTAAAAAGTTATCAGACATATAGAGGCTCCTTAAGAGCAAAATATTTAACGATTTGTAAGCACTATGGTACCTATTTAATGTGACAAATATTTCGTTAATTTTATTAAAAAATAAGTATAAATTGTGGCTTAAATACTTAAGGGTTGCGGTGGACACAACTATTTTTAGGCAGGACCGGCGACTCGGCGCGTGTCAGGGTATTTTTGTGGCGCGGTCGATATCTTGTACCCTGACCTGACCATATTTAGACGTAACTTAATTATTCTTATGCTAACTTAGGAAAGTAATTACAAGTTTAATAAGCGTGTGTAATGTGCACATACATTTTCTTTCTTGACTTGATATAAAAATGTTTTTTACAACTGCAATTTTGATAATTCTAAATTTCTAATTCGTTATAATAATAATTTACATACCTACTAATACAATAAAATTCTTAACAAAATGATCTCGTTAGACTACACATTAATTATGTGGAGAATGAAATGTTTTTTTTATTTAATAAATAGAAAAAAAATGGGGCAACATGGAAAGCAGTGGGGGAGGAGGCCTATTTTCAGCAGTGGACGTCCTATGGCTAAGATGATGATGATGAAATAGAAAAAAGGATGTAGGTATTCAGGTGTATTTTATGACTTTTCTAGTATCCCAGAATACCCAGCAATGAGTCTTCTCGCTACGACCTAGTTACTTACATATAGCGTGATACATAATTATCTATAAATGTATAAGTATGGTATGTATGGTTACATAAGGTACTTATAATGCATGAATGTACAAGTATGAATACCAACAACAATCGCTTTGATTGTCACCGAACTCTGGTTCTAACGGATACAAGACGTTTTCATTCAGTTGTCGGCGTTCAATAGCTATTGTGAGCATTGTGGCATTTGTGGCCAACTTCTCTATAACGTCACTGCATTATCTCTTACACTACACACACAAGCACGACTGAAACTTAACTCTGTTGAGTAGATATCTACCTAGGTAGGTACCTATACCTACTTAGTTCTTGCAACTCACGAAGGCGATAGTGTAACGGCGTTCCTAAGCTTACAAACTCACTATTTTTAACGGAATGCATTGCAGTAGATGTAATAGACTGTTCAAGCCTTATTCTGGACTTGAGAAAAATATGACGACGTAATCCAGGTTTCGCGATCGACACTGCCGCTTGATATTTGTCCGTTTGTGAACACGACGCCATTTTTTTTGTGGATGTGGACCATACAATGCGAGAGGAACAGGCACGAAGTATATCTGAATGGGTAGCCTCTTCATAATGTACTGATGGCAACCAGCGTTCCTAGAGCCGATCTCATTATGCCGGTGAAAGGACTGCGGGCGTATACATTATGGAGGCCTTAATTAAACTTTTATCAATGAAATAAATGAAAGGCCACTGTCTTTCAAAGCAAGCGGGAAGGAAATGAGGCGGTACTATTATAAAGCGTTTGATTTTGTACATAAGAAAACTGGAATACGAATAAATACAGGTAACACTACATAGATTTTGTTTTGAGTTACCTACTGGATTTTAAATACATATTAACAATACGTTTTTAAAAATAAAAACATGTTTAATCTAAAAGTTCATTTACGAATTAAATGAAAAATCTTCTTACCTACTCGAATACTACTACCTAATTGAATTTCAATAGATTACTGACTTATTTTTACCTGTAGTCGCTACAGGATCTAGCTAGGTAGGTACAACATGTACCTAATTGAAATGTTTAATATTATTTCAACTGATGATAAAATGATTAAACCAATTAGGTAACTACATTACTTTAAAAGTTTATTTGCATGGTAAAACACACGTGTTTGATTTTTACATATCAAATGAGTTAATCCTATTCTAACGTTCTTCTAACGTTGCCTTTTGTAAAGCGATTACGAGGGGCGTATTTAAATCACGAATAGATAGTTCCAATTGGCACAGTGTAAATTTGGTAACAGAAGGGTCACTTTGCAACTATAGTCTGATTTTTAATTCCACTGAATTTTGACATTTCTGAAGTGTTGCCAACACAGATATGGATTAGAGTAGATACAGCAAGTTGATCGTCAAAGCGTGCCATTCCGATATGTCCAAATTAGGGCTTGAATACCGGAATTTCGGAATTTCGTAACTCCGGAATTTCGGATACATTTTTTCCGATATTTCAATTCCGGAACTGAAGCCAATATCGTATTCCGATATTGAATTTTTTTATAAATTATTTTAAGTTTTCAAAACGTTTAAGTATCAAAATAGGTTCTTAGATATGTATTCGCAACTTTATTAGTAATAATATTAAGAGGAAATAGGGCGAGACCAATTAAAGCTCCAAAATGTTCGCTAGAGACAACTCTAATGGGCGAAGCCAGCTGAAGAGAGCTGATGATAGAGTAAAACCTGTTAATAGCTCAGCCACAGGACAGCCACTCGACACTATACCGAAGATTAGCCGGACATCAGCCCTTACGTGATTAGGATGGCTCTCAAACAGCTAAAGAACAACAAGGCACCGGGTGATGACGGAATAACCTCGGAGCTTCTGAACGCGGCAGGTGATAAGCCGATACTGAAAGTCCTTCATAGACTGTAACTCCGTCTTACTCCAGGGAATAATGCCAGAGGCACGGAACAAATTCTTGGTGGTGTTTTTCTTTAAGAAAGGGGTAAAAGCCTTATTAAGGAATTACAGACCCATCTGGGTTCTGACTCTGAGTCAAGCTGTTTTTGAGAGCCATCACGAATAGTCTCGCGCGTAGGTTCGATGACTTATAGTCTCTCGAGGAAGCCAGTTATCGAAACGTTTACACTACCATATACCGCATCTATACGCTACGGCAGGTTATACAGAAGACCGAAGAGTCTAACTTGCCTATATGCTTAGCGTTCTTAGACTATGAGAAGGTCTTTGAGCCTGACTGAACACGAGGGCGATTCCTCTGCGATTCCTCTGCGATTCCTCTGCAGCGAGCTGTGAGGCAGGGAGATGTAATAATACGTCGAATTCAACTCGGCTGGGCAGCGTTCGGGAAACTACATAACATCTTTTCGACCAAAACACTTCAGTGCCTAAAGACGAAAGTCTACAATCAGTGTTTGTTACCAGTAGTGATGACACACGGTTCGGAAACGTGGCCTCTTACTATAAGGCCTTATAATAAGCTCAAAGTTGCACACCATGGTATGGAGAGTGCTATGCTCGGTGTTTCTTTTCGAGATCGAACCAGAAATGAGGAGATTCGTAAACGAACTAAAGTTGCCTGACATATAGCCATCGGATTACCAAGCTAAAGCAAAAGTGGCAATGGGCAGGGCACATAGTACGTAGAACAGACGGCCGATGAGGCAAGGTTCTAAAGAGGAGGCCACATACGTGTACGTGTTTGTCGGGAGGCGCTTTCTTTTTTTAACCAACTCCGGAACTAGAACCGGAATTCCGGAGTTGAGTGCCCAATATCGGAAATCAGTTCCGGAGTTGAAAACTATCCGATATTGCAAGCCCTAGTCCAAATGGACATACATGGTCGAGTGATGTTCATGTAATCCGATTACAACAATCGGTTACGATGATTTTACGAGGACAGTAGTACGACACGGTAGAAAGAAGAAATTATTTACGGATTGAGAATTATAATTAACAGCACAAGTAACAAATAATTAATTAGAATAAAGTAGCAGTAAAAGAAGTATAAATTAGCATTGTTTTTAATACATATCCTGCGATGTACTCTTTAAGAGTTAAAACCATGGTCCCTGTATGTGGTGCACTCATACCGATCCCAAGGAACCGTACTTACTCATAACAAAAGACACACACTGATGCATGTATTCATTCATACACTTCACAAATTTATGNAAAAAAAATAAAAAAAAAAATAAAAAGATCGGACTTTAGTTCACGAAATGGGAATTTAAATTCAATGGAAATGCGACTATTCCCACTTAACCACTTGTCGTTCTCACCGCAACAATAAGTACCTACCTAGTTAAGACCATTTTACAAGTATAATATTATTCATTAGGTATCTACTAAGTCCATTAAGGACTCATTTTCGATTTACCACAAAGTCGATTCGTCACGAATAAAAGCATGTTGCTTACATGTTACTTTTAATGTATGGAATTAAAACTGCCCGTTTTACGTTAAAACAGACTCCTTCGAATATAAATCAAGGAATGAATCATTTAGTTTTGAGAAATTAAATGACACATTTTTTATTTATAGGTATGTTTATTATATTTTATGAGTAGGACAACATTAATCAAAAGTCATAAAGCGTCCTTTTAAGATACATTATTTATTATAATGATAAAATGTATAAATGTTTATGTAGGTACCTATGGGGCCCCATGGGGCTACTGAAGCTTCCTCTGTTAGTACATCATTTGGTAAAAACGATTACACTATAGAAAATGTTTTTAACATTCGGGGAAAATAAGCGCTGATCCCAACTTGCGATAGTTAAATAATCGGTAGAGA